AATACACAACGAAAACTGCATAGAGGAATAGTTTGAAAAACTGAAACAATTACGATTTTATTTTATTGGTTAAGAAAGAATGTTAAATAAAAACCCACCTTTCTTTATAAGACTAAAGTGCTGTTCAAGTTTTCTTATGACCCATAGCTTGTAAGGAATTTCCCTCTAACAGGCATACTGTACAGAAGGCTGAAACAGAAAGAATTTTTTTTATAGTTTACAAAGAAAAAAATATAATTCACGACCATATAAATATACACCATACTTGAGAAATGCTTCTCTCATTGAACTTGAAACTTATTCGAGCAAAAATTTCACGAAAGTCCATGTATTCTAACTGTACAAGTACCTTCCTTCCTTTTTTCATAATTTGAATTTAAAATGCATAGTTGTAAATACTAATCGTGATTGCCTGTTTTTCAAATAAGCAATGTTTCCATTGGAAAAAAGGCTCTATGAATATTGATTAAAAATACAAGAAAAATAATTACAAAAGATATTAAATTTGAATAATTGATTAAACTGTTTGTTTTAGTTTAGATGTGAATAACACCTACACATTACTTTTATTTGTTACGTATTACTAGTTCTTCCTCCCCATCAGTCACTGTGAGTTCGAAACTGTTAGCACCATTGCTTCGAGTGATCGAAATTCACTTTTGTGAACAATTTGTTTAATCACTTTCTGTATGTTAAAAATTGAAGAATTAAATTTAAAGGAATTGTTTATAAATATGTATGCAACACATCGCACACTTCAGCAAATCATTTTTAGCAAAATAGTATGTTTTATTTCTGTGGTTTAATTTAAACGTAATAAAACAGGGCTCACAGACACAAACATCACCAATGGCGGGTTAAATAGGTTAATTTATAGATATGAGTCTATGAAACAAGTTAAAAATATTTACTGTTTGAAGATGTAATGTATTTATTTAATTTTATGACCAATATAATTGTATGCAATAATAATTTATTCCTGTAAGTTATTTTAAAAACAACGTTTTATAATTTGTAAGATAGTAATCTTCTTTTTTGCAGGTGTAGATAATTAAGAAATGTTTCTCTGCCTTCCTAATGTTTTGCATTCGATATGGTTTTTATCAGTCAGGGAAAGCCGTTATTGTTATCAGTTTCATTTTGTTAACAGGATTTATATTGCAGTTTCATATGCTAGTTCGTAATTATAAGAAATACACACAAATGGAAACTGTTAGTGATTATGTAAGATCTATATTAGTTTCCTTTGCTAATTACACAATTTTTGCTGTATATTAATCATTTTTAGGTAAATGAGCTATCAAACAGATTAAATTCTGTAGAAAAAGTGGTAGATAGAACATCTACACTTTTTAAAAAACTGAAGGATATGGTTCGTAATGAAACCAACAAAAGAAGGCCAAATAAAGTAAGTTGATACCTATTGTGATTGGAAGTCTATCTGAATTACTTCTTTTAGTGTTGAAGTATTAGTTTTATTTGTTATAAAGAATGATTTATTTTTGGAAGATATTTAATAATTGTTAACCTTATTTTTAATGAGTTTGTAAATTAAATATCATTTTAATTAATGTTAGGATTTGTATTGTTAATTATGTTTAGTATTTTTATAATGTAACATATACTCGAATGAAAACTTAATTTATCTTTGTCAATATGTCAGGTGCACAAATACAAGTTCTCAGAGTCAAGGCCCCCCCCTTATAAATTTCAAATGTACTGTTTCTTTGTGTAATATCTACATTGATTCTATTTTTAATTTAACTTTTATTAATTAATATCTTCAAAATTACAAAATAAAACGAATTTTCTTAATCGAGAAAGACATTTAAAAGATTTGCTTACTATTAAATTTTTTCTGAATTCAATTTCATTTTTTCCCCTTGAAAGTAATATTAGAACAATTTAGGGTTCGAGTTACAGACTTTTGTACAAACGTTGTTTGGTACGTACATACATAAGTTGTTCATTAAAACCAAATAAAGACAAAACAATTTTAATTGTGTCGTAAATGTGACAACGTGATTTTTAACAGTTTTAATTATTTATAATATTAATTTTTTATTTATACACTGTAGTTGTTTTGATTGATTTTAACCTATTTATTTACTTGTTATCTTTATATGATTTTAATTCATGCCTGGTTTTATAACATGTACAAAACCACATTTCTGTAAAAGTCTGTAATGAACTTCAAAAGGATGTATGCACGCTTGCAAGATATATTACAATATTTAAGTAGGATTAAGATGTGAACTGCTTATTTCTTTTGCCTTTGGTGCCTTACCAAACAATAAAAAAAAAACAGTATACAACAGATTCTCTCCAGTGATATATTTTCCCTAATATTTAAAATATAAACGTTTTTACCTGGAAATGTTGCGTCCAATTATGTATACAAAACGTAATTAATTAAAGTATTATTTCATAGGTTTAGGGTTNACAGTATTGCTTTACGCTAACAATTTGACCAAAGAACAGCTTATTATTTTTTTATTTATATATGTAATAATGCAAGTAATTAGGTTGATGTTTAATATAATATCTGAATTTTATCAGAAAATAAGGTTTATAATTATCAACAAGAATAAAAAAAAATATGCTGCTTAGAATCTCAGTCTTTGTTGTATCCATATTAAAAATGTTAACTCAATTAATATGTGTACGTCAGTGACAAATTTTGTTTTGTAAAAATAAATTACCATAAACTGACTTCTGAGTTTTTTGTGCACCTGGACAAAATCTTCATGAATGAGTGATGGGAATTATTGATAATACAAATTATCATTATTTCTTTACGAAAATGATTTATAATTATAGAAGTGACAAAAATAAATTTTACTGGCAATAAAGTATAAGACATCCTATCATTTCTACACCTATTTTACTGTTCATTTGTTTTAACAATTTGAGAATCATATAATTTATAATTTATTATATTATTAGAGATTCGTTATTGCTTTCTGTTAGAGCTGTTAAAAGTTTCTATCCTAGATTATGAGAAATATTAACTTACTTTTTACTAAGAAGCATTGTCTAACGTCATGCATTGAGGGTTATTTTTGAAGGCTCCTTTTTCTTCGAAAACTGAATGAGGAGCGCAAAGCCAAGGATCGTTGGTTTGTAACTGCCAGTCAAAAAGCTTTGTTTGTAATTCATCAAATTCCGACTTGTATTTAGAGTTTCCATATAAATTATTTAATTCGGCAGGATCATGCCTTAAATCGTACAGTTCCCATTCTGGTCTATTATAATATGTATTCAATGTTTTGAACCAGTTTACACCTTCTTTGGCTCGGGTTTTATTTAAAATATACTAAAACAATTATATTAAATTTTAAAACGTTTTTTAAGCTTTTCACAATTAGTATATAATATAATATCTAATAGGGAGAAAAATATTGACACAAATTTCTAATGATTTTGAATTTTCGTGTACGGAAATGAATTATTTTTTCAAATGATTTCTTTTCTTTTATTGCAACATATAACTTGTATTGTTTCAAACTAAAAGTATTATAATAAACATACCTGGAATGTTGGTGATAAATAGAGATCTTGATCAATAGGGAATGGTGCGTAGTAATTGATATTGTGAATCAACTTCAATTTTTGGGTGCGAATTGCTCTCATAGGATAGTACATGGTCACTTCATGCAGATTGTGACTTGCAAAGACAGCTTCTGAACTCTTGTTTTCTGGTTCTAAATAATAAAAAACAAATAAAATATACATGAAAAATCTATAATTTCTACAGATTATTTTTCTTCCATTATTTAAATTTAAACATTTCTTTAACACTTTTTAAAAAGGGAAAAAATAAAGACCTTTCTGTGTAATCAACCAACTATTATATATTTTACTAACCTTTAATTAGCAATGGAAGAAGGCTTTTTCCAGTAAGTTTATTCTTAGCTTTTCCCCTACGTCCTTTAGGAATCGCATACCAGTCCAAAAGTGTGGGAACAATATCCAATAAACTGGCCAAAGAGTAAGTTACCTTATTTTGCCTTTCTGAGTGCAGAGGGGAAGATATGAACATAGGCTCTGCCAATCCTGAATCATACAGATTTGTACGACCATTTGGAAAGGGAATCCCGTTATCAGAACTGTAAATGATGAGGGTGTCATTAAGATGACCAGACAATTCCAATTCCTTCAAAACTAAACCAACACCTGAAAATATAAGAAAGCATTTTTTTAACTCTTCAGTTCTCTAATTTAATATTTCTTTACTTTTATTTATTTAGTTTTGCTTAAATTTTCTATGAAATGTTTTTATTTTTATTTGATTAGTACATAATTGGCATCAGAATCTACATAATTTGATGATCCACATTTTTTAAAAGAAGCGAAACAAAGAGACAATTGGTAATAAAAATTGAAACATTTATAAAAAAACAGAAATTATTTTGAAACATAATCACATAATAGAACTTTTTTATTATGCGCACCAGTGGCGTGGTGATAAAAATTCCTGCTACATATTATATTTAATTTCATTTTAAAATAAAAAAAAACATCAAACTCACCTTGATCCAGACGAGAAATGGTCGAATATTGAGCGGCAACGTCCTGTTTAGCTTCTAATGTGTTTGGTAAAAAATATGGCAATTCAATTTCATCTGGTTGGTACAAAATGGGCTGCCAATCTGGGATGTAACCCATACCTGGTTCACCAGTTCCGAATTTTTCACAAAACTCTCCGTACTGTGGATTTGTATGTCCACATCGGTGAGGATCGTGGAATGCGACATAGAGGAAGAATGGCCTATAAGCAAAAAAAAAATAAAAATTTATCTAATCAATTTTTACACCTATTTTTAGTGTGCCAAAAAAAATATGACTTTTCACATAATAGGTACTCAATTAAAGATGAAATAATAGCGAATGGTAACTGTTAATAAAAAGCCTCTAATTCGAACAAAGTTTTTGACCTTTTAACAACATTTTCAATTAACATTATTTTTTTGTCTTAGAGTTAATCTTATAGATAAAATAAAATTTTAATTTTTTAAACTGAAAACTTACTCTGTAATGTTGTTAAGGAATTCCCGAACTTGATCCTTTATAAATGTAATATTTCTCCCCACTTGAAGAATTGGATATTTTTCTTCTGTCCTTTCAAAGTCGAATGAATAAATTGACTT